GGGAGCTGTGGGGTGTGGGGGGGTTGTGGGGATTTTGGGGGCTTTGGGGTCTCTGGGGAGCTCTGGGGGTCTCTGGGGGCTGTGGGGTCTCTGTGGCTGTGGGGGTCTCTGGGGAGCTCTGGGGGTCTCTGGGGGCTGTGGGGTCTCTGTGGCTGTGGGGGTCTCTGGGGTGTTCTGGAGGCTCTGGGGGCTGTGGGGTCTCTGGGCTCTTGGGGGTCTCTGGGGCTCTCTGGAGTGTTGTGGGATCTTTGGGCTCTCAGGGTCTCTGGGGTTCTCTGGGCTCTCTGGGGGTCCCTGGGGGTTTCTGGGCTCTCTGGGGGTCCCTGGGGGTCTCTGGGGCTCTCTGGGGGTCCCTGGGGGTCTCGGGGGTCTCTGGGCCCCCTGTGGCCCGCCCCCAGCCCTGCCGGTGCCGCAGGACACGCGGGTGCGGGCGCTGGAGGGGGGGTCCCGCGGGCAGCCCCCCGGGGTGGCCGTCACCAACCGGCTGGGCGGGGAGGAGGTGACACACGCGCTGCTGGCCGAGAGCCCCGGCGAGGCACAGCGCTGGCTGCAGGCCTTCGGGCAGCACCTCTGCGACCTGGGTGAGCCGGGACCCCCGGGACCCCCCCCCGACCTGCGGGAGCCCCCACCACCCCTGGGGGACCCTGCCCTGTGGGACCCTCCCGGCCCTGGGGGACCCTCCCGGCCCTGGGGGACCCTGTCCCCGTTTTTAAAGGACCCCAAACCTAGTGGGACTTCCTCATCCCTGTGGGACCCCCACCCTGGCAGGACCCCAGACCATCCCATCACCCCAGGACCCCCAACCCAGTGGGACCCCAGAGAAACGGGGACAAGGATGAGAACAGGACAGGGACGGGGACAAAGACGGGCATGGGGACAGTGACATGGGTGGGGACAAGAGTGGGGCAGGACCGAGATTGGAAGGGACAGGAACAAAACCCCCTGGGAGACCCCCACCCCGGACCATCCCTGTGGGATCCCATCACCCCAGCACCCCCAACCCAGTGAGACCCCAGTCCTGAGAGCGCCCCCATTCCTGCGAGACCCCCACCCCAGGCTGACCCCCCCATGGGTCCCCCCTCCCCCTGCAGCCCCCTCCCCATCCCAGAGGTCCTCGTCCTCGGTGGGGGGGCTGGGGCCCCCCAAAAGCGGTGGGTGGGGGGCGTCCCGGGCCAGCAGCAGCGCGAAGCCTGGGGGGAGAGTGGGGGTGAGATGGGGGGGGGATGTGGTGTAAATTTGGGGGGTTTCCCGGGGGGTTTTTGGGGTACCTGGCGTGGCTTTGTGCAGGACGAGGCTCTCGCTGGGCTCCTCCCCCTGCAGAAAGTGGGGGGGACCTGAGGGGTCTCTGCACCCCCAGCTGGGCCCCCCCCACTCACCGGGGGACCCCACCCCAGCTCCCATTCCCCCCCAACCCCAAAACACCCCCCAGGGTCCTGTGTTCCCCTCCCGA